GAATCATTTTAGGATACAATAATGAATAACATTATATTAGATATTGTAAAAAAAAAAAAAAGAAAAAGAAAAAGTGGAAGATCATCCTAACTTAAATATTGGAAATGAATATCGAATTATCGCGAATGATTAAATTACCTTAAAATACTCAATTAAAATGATTTTTACAATATTTACACCTTAATAAAATAACATTTTCAAGTTTTTATGCACAAAAAAAGAAAATCGAAACACAAATAAAATACATGATACGAAATATAAAAATATTATTTTAGATATTCATTTTATATCAGTCGCATATAGTTAATGATAACAAGGCACAGTGATAAATCATATTTTCACCAATTAAAAATTTTAATTTATAATTTAATTTCTAGCTGGCGAATTCCCTCAAATCAAATAATAAATTAATTGACGAAAAATATGGCACTCCTAAATTTTTGTATTCAACATATCTTACAGTTAATTTTCGTAATTTTGTTAAATTTGACCTTTATGAACTTAATTACTAAAATTAATTAATTGTCTTCCACATTTTCAAATTTTGTTAAAAGTTTATTTCAGATATTTATTCTATATCAATATATAAGTATATAGATAATTAATATATATCAATATATAAGTATATAGATAATTAGTTGACAATTAAATATAAGTATATAGATAATTAATGATAACATTAGCACAATGATAAACATAAAACATTAATTAATTTAATTAGTGAGGACAAATATTTTCTTGCCTAAATTCTAACTATTGTATTTTACATTTGCTTTCAAAATAAAATTTCAAAGCAATGAAAAAAAAACAAAGGAATCTTAAAAGATCATGGAAATTATTTGTGACAAAAGAAAGGTATAATCAATTTTATTCGACAATTTTAAAAATTTCTCATCATCCAACAATCAATCGATTGGCAATTTTTTTTAAAAAAAAAAAGAAAAATGTACAAATGAAAAGAAGAAATTTTGAAAATAATTACAAATGCAAAAATGATACAACAAAGTGACATATTTCAGTATTTAATTTCATTGCAAAATATTATGTTAACAAAAATAGACATAAATTTATTCAAATGATATTAATTAATGGTAATTATTACAATTATCAAATATTATAATTAATAATTGAATGACATGTATAAATCACAAATGCATTAAATATTTCATTGAAAATAATAAGGCAAAATTTCTTCTTTAAATTTTAACAAATAATTTTCTAACATTTTAAGTTTAAATTGACAATTATAACAATTTTCAATACTAATAAAAAAGAAAAAAAAATCTGTCATTGTATTTTTGCCATTGTATAGCAAAAGATCAATGAATGAAATTATGAAATTCTTAATTAAATTAATTGGGAAAATTACATAGAACGATTAACATAATAACTGATAATGATAATGATTGTAATGTAAGAGATAAATTAATAATGCTAAAAGAATTCTTTAATAGAATAATTGACCGTATTGCATTGCCTTATCATGTGATACGATCACACGAATCAATAATATAATATCAAAGGAATTCTTCAATAGAATAATTGATAGCATTACGCTACCGTATCATATGATATGATCATATGTTACTTGTGATAATATATTACACAGTATGAATATATTTTCATACTTTCGTCATTTATATCAACGGGAAGTATATGATAATAAATTGATATGATGATTGTTTTCAGTATTGTTATCATTTGATATTATTGATGCATAAACTTGTATTACAGTTCAAATTTTTATTCCATTTGCCGGACAAAATTTCCTGTTGAATTCCTTTACCGGATATTTTTCTTACCGTTTAATTTACCGGATTAGAATACTATCAGTTCATTTAGAAAGATTATATCAATTCATTAGTATGCTATAAAAGGAGGAAAGAAAATTACAAGAAGTTTAAAAGTTTTCAAGTTTAGTATAACTATTATGAATTGAAATTCATTTTGAAATTTTTCTTTACTTAAAATTTAAAATTATTTTTTCTCCTATTTGTTGCAATAATATAATGCAACATTACCAATAGTGATGATAATAATTATAATAACAGCAACAATTAATCAGCGATTATTATAATTAAGAAATTATTAATTACTCTTGGCAATTTATTTTTTCCAACTTGAACTGTACTTCATTACTTACTTACTGTTTAATCGATAAAGAATTTAAATAATCATTACAAGTTAAGTGCTGCTAAGATAAAAGGAAAAAAGTAGCATTACTTAAATGAGAAAAAGACAATTAATTGTAAGCAAAAATATAATTGTAATCAAAATTTTAGGGACTAATTAATAAAAAAATTAAAATTTTAGAAAAAAGTGGTATTGTATGTTGTTTATACGCTTCAAACAAAAAAAAAAAATTCATTATAGTCTTACGTAAAATTTTATGATTTTAATAGAAAAAAAAAATTTGTTTTAAAGTATAAATTAATTTTTTAAATATATCCAATTTATTACATTTTTTTTTACTCTTTTTGCAATATGCTTAGGAATCGTTGAATTATTGTGAAAAATTTTCGAATATTTTTAAAAATAAAATTATTTAAATTTATACAATCATATGAAAAACCTATCATTAAAGTAAAGCTTTTTTTTTTTGTTTCTTATTTTCCTTTTGTATGGATTTTTAATAATCTATAAGGAGGAATTGTAAATCGATAAACAGAAAAATGACCATTGACCAATCATTGGATTAAATGTTTTTTAATCATTCAATTTATTTAAGCATTATTATTATAATCAAGAAATTAACATGTAAAACACAATGACAATTTTTTGTAGGACTAATTATTAGTGATCCGATCTATCAATGTGTATCTTAATTGATAATACAACAATGTTAGATTAATGAATTAAATAGCTAATATATTAATTGGACTTAAGATAGCAATAGTAATTGCAAGAAATCATGCTATATATGAATCTAATCAATCTTTTATTTATCCCTAATTGATTAATTAATTATTATTATTACTGATATCATCATTATTGTTTATCATTATTGTTCATTATTATTGTTTATTATTATCACTTATTATTATTGTTCATTATTATTGTTTATTATTGCTATCTATTATTATATTATTATTATTATTATTATTATTATTATTATTATTATTA